ATTTGGATTGCGAGGAGATATCATGCGACGAGGATGAGAGTGTAAGGGGAGTTGGTAAGCGGCATCAACCCCACCAACGCTCTGGCTACGGCTCTCCTTCCTCCCCCATGTTAATGCCCCCCACTGCCGGAATGCTGGTGACTCAACTGATGAGGCTGAGCCCCAGCGTAGCCACCGCAGTGGCCGCAGTAAAGCGGAGGCACAAGCGAAGGCGGCGGAGCTCCTTCGACCCGTCCACTGACCTCGACATCGACCTTGCTGCGTCACTGGCTGGAGCGTCTGATGAGGAGACCGGGCCGGCTGGGGGCAGCTGGCTGCAGCGCAGGTGCGTGTGCCAGGGACAGAAAGAACGCAGGAGATGGATAGCCGGGCTGCTTTAAACTCAGCTTGCTGAAGCTTGCTTTAAACTCATCTGTCCCCAGCAAGTGCAAAATGATTTCTAATTGTTTATTAACTCCGGGTCATCTGTACACCCAAAGCACACCATCTCCATCATTTCAATCTGCATTACGCCTTGTTGCTATTAGTGTTTTTATTTAAGGAATAGGTTCCTGAAGTGAATGGGTTTTTTCGGCCCTGGAAAAAAGGAATAATGCACGTCCAGGGGCACAAAATTTTCATTTCTTGGGCCAGAAAGTCTCCGTCCTGCAAAACGCCGCGGCTTAAACCTGGGGGTTGGGGACGGATAGTACCTGAAAGCCCCCTACCTGAAGTCAGCCGGGCATAACGAGCATTTCCGACTGGAGCAGGCGCAAAGGACGGCGCTATCCGAAAGCTTCTCATCGCAAGGAAAAACCTACGTGAAGCCCATGGCCGGGCTTTGCAGTTGACCGTGTAATTTATTTATATGGGGTAAAAAATGGTTTACCAAAGAGGAAACCCCCCACCGCCTCACGGTTATGGGACAGTTTATCTGCCTGACTTAGAAAATTATCCCTTGGTTTCTTTGGAATACCATTGCCCCCAGCTAAAACGAAAAAGAACGGTAGCTGCTACTATTCCATCCTGGCGCGCCTGAGCTTGGCCGGGAATAAGAAGGGACACCAAAGGGACACCAAAAGTGCGAGGGGGACTCCGATGCCCTTCACTTAAATGCCGCCCCCATACGCGCATACGTGTAAGGAGTTCAAGTTACCAGTTGCCATGCCGCCACTGGAATCCCCTTATTTACGTGTATTTGATGGGGGAAAAGAACTGCAAACCATCCTGGCCTGTGCGCAATCGTCCCTCCTCTCCCTTTACCACTGGATTTGCGCCAATGGCCCATCAAGGCCACCGGACTTCACTTCACTTTGCGAAGACCGAGGGGATGCCGTGTCCCCTTTCCCTTCCTTACCTACCTACCCCGCCCTTCACTACCTAGCCCATCACATCATGTCATGTCGTGTCCATTATGTTTTATGTTGTCGAACAGGTCAAAATGGCGCAGCCGTCTCCCGCCAGCCCCTCCATCCTCAGGCATCATAAACGCACCACCTTCCATTGCCGCCTCTTCCGAAGCCTCGACAAGGGTTAGCGGCAGTGGCCTTGTTGCTCCCCGGCTTCGGAGGCACTCGTTCCGGCACACCGATGGCGGTGGCGGCGATGGCAACGGCGACGTTCACGGGATTTGCGGTATTGCGATGGATCAATCGCTCTCAGGGCTGACGGCTGAGAGCTTCTCAGGCCGGTTGCACTTCACGATGCCGGTCGATGCGAGGGCTGAGTACGGTGGGGTGATGGCGGTGGCCGCCGCCGCCGACGGTAGCTGTGGTGGCCATGGCGGCGGCGGCAACGGCTTTGCCACCACTGACGCCTGTAGGGTGGCCCGGTTGGAGACGCTGCAAGAAGAAGTCGACGACAAAGGGGAATTCAGGAACAGCACCAGCGCGAGTCCGGGATCCAGATCTGGGCCAGCTGCTGGGTCGGAAATGGCAGGGCCAGAGGCGATGCAATCGCCGTTTACCGCCATGTCTGCTGCAGCAGGAGCGCCCCAGCCACCTGCATTTGCCGCGGCCCACCACGAGCCGACAAAACGGACCAGCCTGGCAACAGGCCCCACCGTCTGCTTGGTACTGCACGACAGGGATATGATTGCACCGTCAGCACTGCTGTCGCAGGCCTCTTCACTCGGGGAATGTGGATATGTGCGGATTGAATGTGGATCCGTCGACAATTCCAAGCGGGACCGGTGGTACCTGTGCAGTGCATGGCGCTGCCGGGCAGAGCATGCAGGCAGTGTAATCGCGGCTACAGCGCGGAGCTGGGCAGGCGACTGGGCAGCAGCGCTGCACCGTGTTCCCCGCCGCTTCGTTTTTGGCCTGATCATTGCCTGGGTGACATACATGGCTCTCCAGGTAGGCCGCGCTTTTGTGCCGAAGTGCAGCCCCACCTATTGGACCCTATTTGCGATACAAACATTCGCCATGATGGGAGTCAGCGTGGTGGCGCTGGTGATGGTTGCAGCAGCGCTGGCGCGACAGGCTGAAGATGCAGATGTGGAGGCCGGTGGCATAGCCGTGGGTGGAGAGGGAGGGACGGAAGGAGACGCTGCCAAGAGAGGACAGCAGCTGGAGGAAGGAGGAGCTGTGGCGGCGGCAGAGCCGGCGATAAATGCTACGGCGGCGCTGCTGGTGCTGCAGGCACCGCTAAGGACCTTTTGCACCACATTCGGCGCGGGGTTGACAGGCGGGCTGCTGGGCCTAGGCGGCGGCATGGTGATGGGGCCGTTGCTGCTACAGATCGGGGTGCAACCGCAGGTGAGTGAGTAGCTACGTAGCAATGATGGTAGCTAGAGCGGGTAGGCAGTAGGAGCGGGAGCCCTGGACTCAACATAGTGTTGCAGCAATTGCAGTAGAAATGAAAATAAGATGGGCGCAAGATACCCAACGTGAAGGCTCATAAGGAGCGAAGGGAAATTATTTTCTGCGGAGTTATTTTTGGGCCCCCTGGACTGGTCGACCGGCACTGCTGCAGAAGGTCTAGTGGAACAAAGCTTCCACAGTACCGAACAGCATTCATAGTGAATAACCCCTTGTGTTGCGGCAGCTAGAGCGCCAGCATCTGCATTTCCTAAATGGACATGCCTTCGTTTTCGAGTTGGGACCGTCCGCACTGAGTTCATACATGGGTTGAGAAGCCCCAAATCGACGAGCTAATGACTAATCCTTTTTAGGTAATTCGGGTTTTTTAGCTAATTGAAAATCATCATTAGGCGATTTAGTAGTAGTTCATTACGATTACTTCGTGGACCCCCGACGACCGACCTCTGCCGTACACAAAATGTTGCCGCCCGTACTATTTAGTCACTGCTGAGTCCAGTGGTCTGGGCCTCAATAGCTCAATAGCTCAATAATAAACAAATAAACAATAATAAACAAACATTTCTTATTTGATGAGTCATATCTCAACAGTCATCGCTTTGGGATATATGCTTGCATTCTTGCACATATGAGCTATGGAGTAGCTATAATTTCCCAGTATTATAAGATGCTTGTTGATCTGCACTGCGCGGCAGCAATTGTGATCAACCCACACAGTTACCGCCTGATGGCATCGCCATTTTACGTGCAGCCGCGCCCTATGGACCTGTGTAACAATGTCATGGTTGAATACTGGCCTGATGACAAGTTTACGGATAACCCCGCTCGTGGGTCTTAATACGCCTGACATTAAAGCAGCACCTTCAAAACAGATATTGCTTACCTATATGGAATTACCAAGGAATTAAAGTTAGATATGGCGCCATGAATGCTAATCCAGATACGGAAAGTTACTACCTGGTTGGGGCCAGGTAATAACTTGATTTTCACAAGTTGCCAGGTAAATATCTTATTTTAGGCATAGCCGAAAATGTGGTTTGAAGAGGGGCGTCAGAGCGGCGTCGTACGGTGCAGTTGGTGGTTGTTATTTTGAATTGCTATTTGTTCGGTGGCGTTTAGTCTTGTTGTATTATCTTCCGGGCGATCTCGGACTCGGCTACTAGTTGATACGAGCCCTCTTTACCAGAACAGCTGCTAGCTGCCGCTGTGATTGTCCGTTGGTTAGCGGTGTGAATTTGACGACCTTTTCTTTCCCACCCGCCCTCCCTTCCGTACTTTGGGTTCCTGGTTTTGTGAGAGGCCAGCCTTTTAGTTTAGAGGCACGGGGGATGTTTCGCTGGGTTAGGCGTGGGGCCAAAGTAACCCAAGCGAGGCCGTCGGCTGCCTGCTGGTTACCAATGCGGAAGAGCACGGTAGCCCGGAAGGGCCGCACTAAGTAGCATGCGGGCTCTGACAGGCAGGCTGGGCGTCTCTTATCCCCAACCTTATGTCCACGTCCCCGGTGCCTTGTCCGTATTAGTCGTACTGAAACGAACGCGTTTTGGGTTTCTCGTCCTGATTCGTGGTCTGGCTAGCTGCTCAGCCCGGATTCAAAACATGGACATCAAGTACAGTTTATGTTCTTTCCTAACCTCTTGCTAACTACTGCTAATCCTCTGAATAGAGAACACGGTGTCCTGAGGAATTCCCTAATCCCCGGCCAATCCTGCTTATTCCGGTGGGATTTCCACTGCAGGGATTAGCAGAGGGATCCCTGGCACTAATCCGCACTGGAAATACACCTTTAGGCATATGCTCAGTTTATAAGGGCCCCCTTGAATTGTAATGTACTTTTTGTTGTGTGCGGCATTGTGTGAAGCATTTACATCTCGTTTACATTACTTCTGTTCTCATCCAAGTCGGGCCAAGAAAACTCGCAAACCATTTACCCATCGGATAATGCCACATTGGCCAGAGACAGCACACTCTGTTCCCAAAATCAGGCTGGAAGCTGTGTCCATATCTTCATATCAATTTACAAGTTCCGCACAAGTGCGGGGGTGTCCGTAAAAGCGGGGGGCGCCATGGACGGTAAATCGTTTCTGATCGTTTTTAGTGCGGAATCGTTTTTCGTTTTGCTACAAGTGTCGGCGGCTCAGCTACCGGTGAAGGAGGAGATTTTCTGATCCGCACAACCCTACCCAAATCAATTCACTCAAAATGCGCAATGAACCACCATCGTCCTCCCTCGACCGCTTCAGCACGCAGCGCCTTAGAGCAACGTGCCGGGTCTCCCAGACTTCCGTGAGGAACCTGGCTCGTGCCAGGGGTGGGGCCTCGGTCATAATCGTGCGCATGTCGCGCCCTTGAAACGAGGTCACGCTCGTATTTAGCCCGTGTACTTGTGTAAGCCGGGCATTCCACAAAAACTGCATTTCATCTTCAACTGCTCCATAGCCGCAAAGCCTGCAGGTGCGCACAGTGCGCTCACGGCCGTTAGGTCGGTTAATCTCTACCTCCCGACAGCCTAACCGGAAACGCATAAGCATTTGATGCAAACGTTGGTGCATGGCGGTTTCAGTGTGGGCCAGCCACTTCTGCCGCGTGCCCCGCGGGGGCGGCCCCATCCAGTTCACACAGCGACACGCCTTAACGCCGGTACTTCCACTTGGGAAAGGGCGTGGATCACCTAGGGTATCCGGGCACTCCCACCGGGCGTCCAGCCGACTAGCGAAGTATGCCTCCCACTGGCAACCTAACGGTGGCGTAATGCGTTATGAGGTCGTCACCACGCAGACCGGCTGAGGGCTCAGCTCCCAAACTCTTGAGGAAAGCTAGGACCTTGCTCGTCCAGCACTCAGCAACACCCCCCAGTGCCAGCTTCCAAGGTCAGCAATAAAGGCCCGGTGGCACAGTGTCCCCGGCCTCTTGACAATTGAGTTCCAGAACCTTAGCACAAGGTTGGCCCAATGGAACATATTGAATTGCTCAGGATAGAGGCTCGTAGCAGCATATGAACGTCATCCGGGGTGGGGGGCTTTATCCAAAGCGTTGCGTGAGGTAAGCTCGTTTTCATGCCGCTACGCAGATTTATTCAGAGGGGCATCATTTGTAGGCCCCCGCTCCTCCTTCGGGTCTTAGCCTTCCCAGTTGGATATTCCTCGCACTTCTCTCCGACGTTTTATACCCATTCCTTTTTCCGTTCTTCAAATGTGTATGCTTGTTCCCTTCGTACAGGTTACCGCCGCATCGAGCAGTACCATGGTGCTCTTCTCCTCCTCGGCCGCCCTCATCCAGTTCATCCTGCTGCACCGCCTCAACACCGACTACGCGATCGTGTTCGGAGCCGCAAGCCTGGTGGCGGGGCTGCTCGGTACACAGGCAGTGTCGCGGGCAATAAAGCGCAGCGGCAGGCCCAGTGTCGTAGTTCTAGCGCTGGCAGGCGTCATTGGCATCGCTACGTTGTGTGTCGCGATCTTTGGGTTGCGTAATGCAGCTGTGCAGCTGCGGGCGGGGGAGCTGGGATTCCTGGGGATATGCAAGAGGTAGTGGCAGGAAGTAATCAGGCAGGTAGGTGCTCGCTAGCTAGCAGGATGTGATAATGAGTGAGAAGCACTACAGACGTGAGTCGGGCCAGGCAGGTACTTGGATGGCCAAAAATGTCGAGGTTGGAGTTGACCATTACGTCATTTCAGGCAGCGTGTGGGCAGTTAGGACGGTGGGCATGACGATCGTGGTTCTTGCCCTACCCTGCCTTTTATTGATTTTCGCCGGGTGATGATGGAAGGGGGGTTGCAGGAAGGGAACAATCGGATGTGGTAGTGGCGCCGGACTCTTGGTGCTGGAAAGTGACCGATTTACTCATATACCAGTGAATGGTGACTGCAGTAATAGAGCCCGAGGGGTTCCAGCGCTGATCCTAACACCTGCGACCATGCGCGCGATTATAAGCCAGTGATCTATGGGGGTAAAGCAAGGGGGACACAGAGTTGGATCCGTCTGTGGAGATGGGGGAAGCACAAGCAGGGCTCCGTTAATGGCGTCATCGCAAACGGTTGTTAGGTGGCTCGTCTTACGCTTGATTGGTCAATGATAAAGCCGTCCAGCAAGATGGCATAGCTACTTTCTTGCTTGTGTGCATGCATGGGTCTGTGTAGTCTATGTACGACTGCATTGGGGGGGATTCCTGACACCACTAGGGAAGGAGGCGTGCAAGTGAAGGGTGGGGGGCCAGCAGGGAACGCGGCCTGCAAGGGACCAGGCCGACAACGTGGAGGGGCAAGCTACAGGCAGAAGAGGGAAGGCGCGCGGCCTCGTCCTTGGGGTGATTGGGATGTGCCAGCGGTGCAGTGTGCAACTCAGCGTGTGATGCGGCGCAGTGCAGGCAGGACAGGAAGCTGCCCGTCCTTAAAACATCGGGTTGCCAACGGAGGTTTGATAGTTCGACTGCAGGAGCTAGATAGTTCTCGCTAACCTGGAACTTTAACGGGATATGTTATGGCGCAGTTATGTTCATGTATAAACACAGGTCTGCTAGAGGTGTATATATATGTACGTGGTTCCTATGGGGCTGCGCATACCCCTTTGAAAATAAACGATGCCATCGGAATAGCATCTGAGGCGCCGTGTAGCTCTCCGCATAATCGGAGCCGGCTCCCTCTCTCCCCACCAGGGAGGAAGGATCGTTCGGTGTTTTGCTTCCCTTATCTCTGCTCGCCCAGGCTAAACGTTCAAACCGGTAACCTGCCGGCATTGCAGCCATTCGTAAGCATAAATGGGCACGCTTCGGGAAAAATGGGAGTTGGCGTTGAGGTTGGGTGCTGGTGTGCTTTCGTGCCTGCATCCTGTTGGAACTTGATTCTCTCCCCTCCATCCCCGTGTGTATGTATGGGAATAGTGGCAAGCCCGACCACCCAGTCAAACCCCTGGCAGATCTAGTGATATCGTTGCGCGAAACATAGAGGTTTGCTTTCTTAGAGACTTCTTTATTGCATGGACTGACAGGATGCTGTGCCGTACCGAATCTGGATCTGATTACACGGACCTCTATTGCTGCCAGGCACAGCGCTGGCAGCGCGGCTGTTGAATTAATGCCCGCCTACCCATATGCATGTCGTGCATGTGGGCACTTAGTGTTGGCCGAGGTTTACCTTTTTTTGTAGCATGTGCGCCTTCTATCTGTTTGACCTCTGAACGGATCTCTCACCCCCATCCTACGGGGAGTTCGAGACCCATAAAACGTGTTTTGGCAGGATTTTTCTTTGCATCGACGTTAATTTCGTCGTTTCCTTATACGTTGACCACGGTGACCACCGGCTTTCGGCTTTGTACCGCCCAATACGGCATCAGCGGGCGGCAGGACTGCCGGTGCGTGTCATCCTGTGCACCACCCCGAGGTGTATTGCAGCGGGGCGGAAGCCCGGGAGCTGGGCCGACCAACATCCTTTCGTGTTTTCAAACGATTTGGCAAGTCCAGGGAAGCGAGGGCCTCTATTCAATAGCTAGGGAAGTGTTCCCGCAGGCGATTGGTGAAGGGAGGGCCGCGGGATGGAGGGTTTGTGTGTGGGAGGGAGAAAGAACTGGGGCGTGTGAATATGATGTTAGGGTATGTATATGAAGTTAGGGCCCATAGTTTCTTCACAGGACGTCCGGTATCTCCCGAGGTCTGCGTCATGTGCGTACCGCTGCCAATTTGGGCGATCCCCTGTACCGCAAACAATGCAGGTCCGCTCGGTATGCGGCTGAAGGAGTATCCTTCTGTGGATGCGGCAACAACTGCTGCTGCTGCTGCTGCTGCTGCTGCCCCTTCCGTCCATATGACCTTGGGGTCCCGCCGCTGCCGAATTGTTGCCGACTGCCGTCCTAAGTTGCGACAGAACGCACGGTTACGGTTATAAAATGGGAAACCCGTCGGTTATTTTTTGTACGACTAGTTGTTGTGGAGTGTGCATTAGGTAGCGCCGGATTTTATAAAAAACCACGGCTTCGACTCATCCATGGACGAGTGGCCACCTATACATATTTCCCATGCGTCTTTTGGCGTTCAACGCCGTGTTGTTATTAGCGTTCGCTTGAAAACGAGCTTTAGGGCATGAATAGGATATCGGAACGGCTCAAAAGTACTCCTGTATACTCCCGTGATCGGAGGATTTCCGCTCCATTTCTGTCCATTTCATCATTGTACCTGTCCGACCCTTTTTGCTGCTGGTCATCCTGCGGTGGCACATAACCGTGCACGATATCATCAAGGGGAGTTCCCCCGGTCACCATCACGTCGTGGCAGCCGCGCTCGCGCTGCTGTAATCAGGCCTACGGGATAGACCACACGGCAGCCGTGGCCCAACGATACTATCACGGTCTACCACGGCCTTGTATGGATGAGCTGTTTCAAGTAGAATGCATTGCATCCCCGGCCCTGGAACCTGGATAATTATGTAAAACAGGCTGTAGCCCTGGCGGCCAGGCAAGGTCGTCCGTATTTCATTTTTGACATGTCCGTGAACGGCCTGAGCCCTAGTCCGGCAGGAACTGGTTCGCCATGATAGCCGACGCCTCGCGTGCACTTGGATATGAAAATGTGGACCACCATGATTTCTCGCGACAGGCCGGGGGAACCAGATGTAGATTGAAAGATGCACGCGGACGCGGCGGGGTGCTTTCTGGGTGTAGCATCAGCTGTTAAGCTGTGTTACAGAGGGGGCGGCGCAGCTGCCGGATATATGCCAGCCTGCGGCCCAACGCGGGGGCTTTATTTGAAGCCGACCGCGCACTTTCAATATCATCCTGCCTCCGGCTGTGCACCCACCCTGTCCTGTGGTCAGAATCTTAAGGGATTAATGTCTCAGATTTACACGGGTTCGGTGCATTCGGGACTCAGCCCTGAGAGCAACCATGCTAGGAGTCTGGCAGGAGACCTCAACAGCTACCTCTGACTGAGTTCTCCATCCATTTACGTGCCCCTCGGGGCGGTCGTGGGTGGTTACCGTTGTCGCTGCCAGTTAACAGTTGTCAGTTGAGAATGTATGAGTTTCCCCGAATTAGACTGGCCGAGGGATTCCTCTACGGCCACTTGCATAGTCAGCCAGGATTCTGGATAGCTATCGGACATCGCCGGGCCCACTTGGACCTTGGGCTGCTTGATCGGTCGCGTAGTGTGGCATGCACGTGTGCCGTGGTGATTGCGACTGTCCGGCTGTATGTGTACCGTACGTACCTTGGTGCTGCTCAGGGCCTTACCGACGCCATCTTTACCAGTCCACAACCATCCCATGCTGGGAGAGATCACAACGACATCTCAGGTGCAGCGGGAAAAAAATGCCCTTGCTTGCGGCCAGATTGAAACTCGAGGTTTTCGGACTTGTCAGGGGGTTCCTGGAGCGGGTTGGGGCACCAATGGTTCAGGGGGCAGGTCCCCAGATTGCTCGCGGGTAGGCTATACAAGCTGATACAAATTAGCTTTTAAGCAGGGGGAGAGAAGGTTGGGACTTGGGGAGAGCCATCCAAGAGCTATCAGCAGGATCTTCCTGGGACAAGATGTTGCTCCCCGATTGTACAATTGCAAGTATGTTTTTTGGTCCCCTCAGCCTTCCCGCCAATATGGCTCGCCTATTTTCGCTACCTATAATGACTGAAACGCGTTACGCAGATGGTAAGTGTGCTGGAGTATGCAGCGACGGGTCTGGCAACGACGCGTTGAGCCAATATTGTGTAACGCACAAATATCCGGCCTGAATGAAGGGATATGACAGGAAAGGATACAAGTGGAATCATTCAATCGATAATTGTGCCACAAAATTGCTTTCGAAAGGAGTTGTAAAGCGCATCGCTACCGCCAGCGGGCTCGTCCCACGTCCTTTGTGATTTGATGTGAGGCAGAGTTAATACAAAAAAGCTCCTTAGCTATGAAGTGCAAATTCCCGGTCCAGCAAGTTATAGCAAGATTCCCGGGACACTCGGCTGCCCCATCAAGGCGCTTCGCGCGGAGTCCCTGGCCCTCCAAAATGCGTCTGACCAGTGCTGCCGATTCCACATGGCATGTTTCACTAGCTGACGCGGCTATGTACGGTGACTGTAATGCAGCAGTACAGTATATTTGTCCACACAAAATCCTCATCCAACCTGGATTTTGATTAAATGACATAAACTCTTCAAAAACAGTTAAGCCTTTGGCCGCTTGCATGGCCAAATGACTTGGGCCAACGTGGCCTGACAGGTAATAGCAGTGCCCGGCGCAAGGCGGCCGGATGTGCGGTTAACCAGATCCATTAATTGGATTGAAGAGTGAGAGGAACATCACATTGGAGACCATTTCGGCTCTTTTTGGTCAAGCCCTGATTTGAACTGCCCGAACCGTGTCGAATTCATCGAGGCCGCGGGGCCATGCTCCTGCTAACCCTTAATTTGTTACGCCTTTAGACAATGGCAAGCTCTGTATACCATCAGTATATACACCTATATTATATGGGCAACTGTTTTTTTGATTCCCCCATGGCTTGCATGCCTTGCAAGCCTTAGCTCCAGGCGGCCTCCCCGCATGTACGCTTCACTACCGGCCACGACAAAGGGACAACATCTGCAGCAGGGCTCTCAAATCTTCGTCGTCTAGAGGGGAAGCCCGATCGTTTGGTTTTGCCGCCCTCCATCTCCCATCTAGTGCAGGCGCCTGTGCGTCTGCGTAGCGTCGTTGCAACCCTCAGTCACTTTCCTGTGCTGTTGGGCCATCGACTACGCCATGACTTTGGGCTGCACTCCGGCGGCTCTCTTTTGTAATGTTTGCAGTAGACCCACTTGCATGGAAAACTTAAAGCGTATAGGAGTGCTTCCATTATGCGCCTCCGTGCTGCTTCCTGCTGGGCCTTCTGTACGTCTGCTCTGGGCCGCCTGGGGCCGGTCCCTATTGGCATCAGGTCGAGAGAGTTCATAACGTTAAAAGGCTGCGGTGCAAGCGCGCCAGAGGCGCAGATGATCACTAAATGGTCATCAAGAATATTACTTCACTGCGTGCAATAGCTACCATGCTTTTTAGTTTGAAGTCGTAAGCGAGGGACATCGCTCGCTCGCGGGACAACAGTTTAATGCGCAGCGAAAACAATAAACTAGTGCTAAACATAAGTCATACAACGTAGATATATATGTTCATACACATAGTGAGAAATTTCAGCGAGTTTAAGTTTTTGATGGTCGGCACCTGATGGATCGGTCCCAAATGACGACTTGAGCAGATACGTATACCACCGGTAGCAGGAAGGTGACTTGTTAAAACTTGCAATTAAGAGCGCCGAATGTCTGTGTGAAAGCTAGCTTTATTGCTGTAACGGGACGGAGGTCGGTCGGTGTCGGACAGGGTCGGACCAGGTCAGACTTTGTCAGCGCCTGGTCTATCAACTGCGGACTTGAACTCTTTTACGTTCCACAGAAAATGAGTTGAGCTTTCAGGCAACACTTATCCCACGTGATTTGCAGAAATGTCTTGTAAGCTGTAAACGTCGGTACTCGACTAGCAGATAGCGCAGATAGATGTAAGTTGCACAAATCGTTTATCCAAAGGATGTAAGGTATTATCTACACCCATACCTACCGCCGAACAAATGAGTCCGTAGGTGTGCAACCGAGTGAAACGGGAAGGGCCACGGGAAAACTGAAGACGGTTGGCACGGCATTGGCCTCCTAGTACTCATTTCTTAGATGCTCACACTCCATGCAACAGTGGCTACATACTCGAACATGGAGATAAAATCATAATTTAATATAGTCCTTGCCATCTAGCTGAAGGATGGCTCAGCTGGAAGTTGATTCGGCTTTCCAGGCTGATGCCCGAAGCCTCTTGGGGCTTGTTGTATCTGTGCTTGTAGGTTAAGAAATCACAATTTGCTTGAATTTGCTTAGAGCTGTACGACTGAGCCGGCGCATCCTTGCAACGCAGATTGGAGCGGTGGCTACTGCTGCAGGCGTAGGAGGAGGCGCGATCTACATTCCACTATTCAACGTCTTAGTTGGCTTTGGTGAGATTGCTTTCTCGCATCTAGTCGTTGCATAGCATTCCTCGCGACATCCTCCACACTTCCTCAATTGCCGATTGAGCGTTGGTAAAAAGCCTGAATTACCTAGCACAATGTAGGACCCGAAGAAATGCCGCTGTGCAGAAAGACACAACTTAGAGCAGGGCCCGTTTCCTTACGTAAGCTGGCCTGGTGGCCGCCACTGTGCGCAGAGCCTTCCCAAATCCTGGCATAAGCAACAGCAGCCGCTATCTGCAAATGCAATATCAATTCTCTGGTCGGGATCTAAGGACGACGCGTGCAAAAGCCCAAGCCCAGCGGTAATCCTGTCCTTACTTATCTCCGCCGCCCACCATTGCAGGGGCTTTCAGTTTCGGCCTATCCTGTTTCGCCGGAGTAGAGTGCTTTACACAAGCCATATATTATAAATTACATATGTTATGATCAACTGCGCTTTCTAGTATCTTCCTTGATTACTTCCAACATGTACCACTATCTACCTCTGCTAGCCCGCCTGTCCCGTATCTGTTTGACTATGAGGCTATATTGGACTTACAAATTCGAGGCACGCTACGTCATAAAATAAACATCATCATTATAATAATAATAATTTATTATTATCACCGTTATCATTATCACCACACGCTTTCCCTTTCCTACACCCACGCCCGCTCTGCGCTGCCACCCTCTGCACTCCGCAGCTCTCAAGCCCAGCACTGCGTTGTCCCAGGCCTGTATCACCGCCAGCTCACTGGCAGCGGTCGTAAGCAACCTGCCCCGGACCCACCCCAGCGTACCGGAGGCGCCCCTCATCGACTTCCCACTGATCCTGCTGCTCACCCCTGTGCTGCTGGTCGGCGTGGGGATAGGTGCGCGGGTCGGCGGCCTCGGGACACTTAATGGTATAGGATGGGCACGGGATGAGGATTGGGGGCAACAACACCGGGCATGGGCCATGTATGCAGGTTGGGGGGCAGGACAAGCCCGGGAAAGACGATCCAAGCGGGGTGAGAAGAGCCACGGACGAGCGCTCGAGCGTCCAACAGTGAACGGGAGGAACCTGAAGCCTTAGGACACGAGGACCGCGATTATCAGAAAGCGCACGACCCTAAACCTTGTCACGTTGCCCCTCCTTCGTGTTACGCCTGGTGGCCTTCCTCGACGCCGCTTTCCCTCCCCGGCTTTACCTACGCTCACCTCCATCCCCCAATCTCTCCTCAACCCCCAGGAGTGCTGCTCAACGTGGCCCTGCCCTCTTGGCTGCTGAATCTCTTGCTTCTAGTGCTCCTGCTCCTGCTGCTGGCACAGGCGATAGCTAAGGTAGGGCGGGTGAACGGGGATCGGATGGAGCAGTGAAGGGTACCGTCTTCGGCCCAAGTGCATCGCCTCTTTGCTACATGGTGCTGGTGGTGCCGTCGGCAATGGCAGATGGTGCCGGTGCATAAACTGGCGGCGCCAGAGACCGTGGCGATGCGGGTGGCAACGGCCGTAGAGGCGCTTAGTGCGCGGCATTCCCAGACGGCGAGTAAGGGCCCATACAGCAATGACCATCAAGAGTGTGAATGTCAACTCGGGTTGCTCTCGGGCTTGTTATCACCCGTCTGCTGCGTCTCGCATTCCCCGCCTCTGCCGTATACACAGGGAAAAGCACTATGGGCTCAGGAGAGCAAGCGCGCCCAAGCGGCAGCAGCGGCGGCAGCGGCTCGCCACGATACCAGCAACAAAAGTGGCGACCATGGCGGCAGCAGCAGCCGAGGCGGCAGCCGCGAAGGGCTTCTGGCAGTGGATCACCCGTACAGCTCCTGCCATTCCGCTGCGACGTCCATTGGGGCCGCGGGGTCGTCGGGACTGCGTCTCCGCCGTGTCCAGTCGTACAGCAACCCACGAGGGCCTTGGGGCTTGGAACCTAACCAATATGTTTCACTCAGCTGTTTTGAGGGTTTAGAGATCACCGAAGCCACCACAGTAGCCCCGTACGGTCCGGCAGGCCCCGCCGCTGCCGCCGCCATAGGAAGTGGCGGTGGCGGCGGGAGCGCCACCGCTGCTACAGCCGCCGTCGCCCGCCGCAGCCCCGCTGATGTGTCGTGGGACTGCATGGAGGGTGTGTCCGTCACCGGTGAAAACGGTCCCACGCATGATCACAGCCAGCATCCCAGCTACGCCCGACGGTCATCCAGCATCTTCCCCGCTACCGCCTTTAGTAAAACCTCCTCGTTCATGGGCGGGGATGACGTGGGTATTGGTCGGTACGGCGCTGGCCCCGGCAGTTCCGCTACTCCAGGAGGGGCGTCCCCAGTCTCTTCACTGTACGCCCCTTCCTGGAGGGCCTTCAACGAGCTGGTGAGTTCGGCAGTAGGGACCCCCGGCTGATCCATTTCAGTCACCCATGGAAGCACAGACCTGACCAAGGGGTCGGTCATGGGTAACCCCGCGGCTGACCCACGGGTCCCCGATGGGAGCACGAGGTGCTCACCGCAATAGGGGGAAAGGCGCCCTCGATCTTCCCATTACGTCTGCTAAGCAGCAACTTCAGCATCCTTACATTTCCATGCTATGCACTCCCGTCTTAAGTTCCAATAGGCATACGTGGTGTTGCCATCCAACCGGCCTGCAGGGAGCGCTTGATTTTGACACGGACATGGAAGAGGTTTCATGCGACGTCGGTGAGGGCGCAGGAGCAGCAGGTGGAGGCGGCCGGCCGCAGTTCAATAGGCGCTCCACTCGCCATTCTGGTTACGGCTCTCCTTCCTCCCCCATGTTGATGGCTCCCACTGCCGGAATGCTGGTGACTCAACTGATGAGGCTGAGCCCCAGCGTAGCCACCGCAGTGGCCGCAGTAAAGCGGAGGCACAAGCGAACAAGGCGGAGCTCCTTCGACCCAGCTACTGGCCTCATCGACTTCTCTACGGCAGTGATGGGACCGCCGGATGAGGAGACGGGCGCGGCAGAGGATAGCTGGTTGCAGCGCAGGTGTGTGGATTTAGGGCGATAAGTACACCCTTAATCATTGACGAATCGATACCTTGCGAACATCACTGGAGCGTCACAACATTAACAGCCCCTTGCCAACTCATTAAGCCCTGTCGTACAATGCCATGCACCTGCCGTACAATGTCATATGTTATCGTACAGGTCGAAATGGCGCAGCCGCCTTCCTTCCGGTGCCCAGCCCCACCGCGGCTCCTTACGAGGATCCTTGCTGCTCACCCGGAGCATCTACCCCCACTCAGCAGCGTACCCCTTGTCTGGCATCATGCAACCGCCACCCTCCGTCGCCTCCTCCGGTGCTTCCGCGAGGATCAGCGGCAGCGGCTTGTCACAGTTCCAAAGGCGCTCGCTACGGCAGACCGATGGCGGCGGTGGAGATGATGGCGGCGCCGGCAGCAACGGGATGGAGCAGCCGTTCTCGGGGGCCATGCTGGAGGGCTCCTCAGACCGGCCGTACTCCGCAATGCCGGATCTGAGATCTGAGTACGGTGGTGCAGCGCCGGTGGCGGCCGGCGACGGCTGCGGCTTTACCGCTACTGATGCATGCCGTGTGCCGGCGCGACTGGAGACGCTGCCTGAAGAAGTTGATGACAAAGGGGAGTTCAGGTACAGCACCAGCGCGAGTCCGGGATCCAGATCTGGGCCGGCCGCTGGGTCGGAAATGGCAGGGCCAGAGGCGATGCAAACGCCGTGCGCTGCAGTGTTTGCTAAGGGTTACGTATCCCAGGCTCCCGGCCTAGGTCCGAGCTGTAGCACCCAAGCTGGCTGTGACGCGGCGATGTGGCCAGGCGTGCCAGCGACTCCCACCGTCTGCCTGATACTGTACGACAGACATAACACGCAGCCTTCATCGATGTCGTCATCTGGGCAGTGTGAGTATGTGCGAATTGAATGCGGGCCCGCTATTGTTACTGAGGCGGATCGGCGGCACCGAGGCGGCGAGTGGCACCGCTCTGTAGGCAGTGCCGCTGGCGCTGCCATGGGGGCGGCGCGCAAATGGGCGGATGACTGGGCAGCGGCGATGCGCCGCATTCCCCGTCGGTTCGCTGTGGGCCTGATCATCGCCTGGGGAACGTACCTTGCACTTCAAGGTGCCCGTGCTACCATGACGCATTGCAGCCCTGCATGGTGGATTACATTTATCATGCAAGCTGCCGCCATGCTGGGTATCAGCGCAATTGCACTGGTAATGGTGATAGCAGCACTGGCCAAGTCGGCCGAGGCATCAGATGTGGAGGCTGCTGCGGGAGACGTTGGCATGGAGAGGCGGGAGGGAATGACGGAGGGCACAGCAGCCAAGGGTGCACAACGGCCGGACGGGGAAGGGATGGCGGCGCCGGCGGCGGCGGTGGCAGCTGCTGGGGCGGTGGCGGTGGCGGAGCCGGCTCTGGGTGGCACTGCGGCGCTGCTGGTGCTGGAGGCGCCGGTGAAGACTCTGTGCGCCACATTCGGCGCGGGGTTGACCGGCGGGCTGTTGGGCCTAGGCGGCGGCATGGTGATGGGGCCGCTGCTGCTTCAGATCGGGGTGCACCCGCAGGTGAGTGAGTAACGCTAGGTTTCTGTGGCTCCACCACCACACCACAACCACCATCCTGTGCTACCGGGTTCCCAGGTCTTGCTGCTCGTGATCGTGCTGCTGCTGCTGCTGCTGCCGGTGCTCTCAGGTCACAGCAGCCTCCAGCGGCGCCATGGTGCTCTTCTCCTCCTCGGCCGCCCTCATCCAGTTCGTCCTGCTGCACCGCCTCAACACCGACTACGCGCTCGTGTTCGGAGCCGCAAGCCTGGTGGCGGGGCTGGTTGGTACACAGACAGTGTCGGGGGCAATAAAGCGCAGCGGCAGGCCCAGCATCGTGGTTCTAGCGCTGGCAGGCGTCATGGGCATCGGCACCGTGTGTGTCGCGGCCTTTGGGTTGCGCAACGCGGCCGGGCAGCTCCGCCGGGGGGACCTGGGGTTCGCAGGAATCTGCAGTAGCCATGGTGGGAAATAGCTCGCCAGAACAACTGCAGGTGCCTTCCGGGGCCTGGGGATGAGGATGCGGAATCAGCGAAGCTAGACAGACGAAACGCTACCAGCGCAGCATAGCGCAATAGAACGCAGTAGAGCGCAGCGAATCGCGGCACGACAGACCCATGGCGAGGCCAGCACAGTATAGCGTAATGCAGCGCGCGCTCAGATCCTGCACAGGACAGCACAGGAGGGCGCGCCAATACCACAGCACAGCACAGGGCACCACAGCACAGGGCAGCTCAGGGCAGCACAGCACAGGGCAGCACAGGGCAGCACAGGGCAGCACAGGGCAGCACAGGGCAGCACAGGGCAGCACAGGGCAGCACAGGGCAGCACAGGGCAGCACAGGGCAGCACAGGGCAGCGCAGCATACAAATCCTGCAGAACCAGGGCATTGCAACACAAGGACAGCCTGACACAGCAGCTCCGTAACACCGCACCGGCTTCGTATAGCAATGTTCGAGAGTCTTCTTAATTGCTGTCATTGTTAATGAAGTGCTGCCGGTTGTTCTACGGCCCGACGTTACCGCGAATCATTTGCAGAGACGATATGTGTGTATGGGCTACGATATTGCTGAGCACATCGCAGAATGATACTGATACTGGCAGGTATGGGCATGTTTTGGAGTATAATATGGGTATGGGTATGTATGTAAGTATGTTGTATCTATGTCGTATGAAGGACTGATTTACGCGCACCGCACGTCAAACAACCGATGCCATGGAGGTATGCATTGGAGGTGCCATGCTGTGTAGTAGCTGTCGCCAAGTACGGCACACATCGTCATTAAGCATACACGCTAAAGCGTGCTACCAGACTCGCTCTCGAGAAACGTTTCGGCTGCCTACTGTGTGTGCAATAGGAGGAGCAAACTTCCGCTCCCACGTACTCCTAACCCACGTACCTAGCAAGTCCGGTGGGCGTCATGTCTTCCTACCCACTCCAGCTCGCTGACCTGTCTAAGATATTCGGGCCAGTTAGTTCGAGCATGTATGTTGGTCTTGGGAGGCACACATTGACCAGCGGTGGTGCTGTGGGCGCCAAACGGCGGCAAGGATATATAAGTCTGGAGATGTTGGGGGTAGGCGGCATTGGGATCGGTGCCAGCGTGCCGCCTGCCGCAGGATTCACTTCAAGCTGTGTGTCTGGATGGATCAGGGAAACGACGGTCAGTCACTCAGTCACCCCAATTGTTGGGCACATAGTTGCTGGCGCTTCGGTTCCGGGTTGGGAGCTTGTGGCCCAGACCTAATTAGCTCAGTTGATTACTTTTCGAAGACTTTCTTCATTTATAGCTTAAGGGTTATGCCTTATTGAAACTGAAAGCATTCAATCGGATTTTGCAGACCTTGCCGGATGATGGCCTGCCTGATGACTCAACGCCCACCCATCCACCCGCACACACGCCTGCGTTCCGTGGGTATGGGCCGGCTGATGCGTTCGAGGCATGCGGGAATGTGATACCTTGGCGCCTTTCGCGCCCGGACGGACTTTGTGCAATCACGCGAAATGGGAGCTTAATTGTGGCTTTTATTATCCAACACGCGCGTTTTGCAGGTTTTGTCTGCATCATATCACATCGTCTGATCCATTCGAAAGGATCCGAAGGAATTCGAAGGAATTCCTTCCGTGCGTGTTGATCAAGCTTGGCCAGCAGCTTCCGGCCACGTGCCGCCCACTGACTCCAGTCCCTGATACTAATGCTCCCAGTAATATCGATCGGACCGTCTGCCCCGCCGGAGTAGGAGCTCCGTCTTTTTGAGGTACCGGATACTGCCGTCATTGGACAGCGACTCATTATGAGGTCCGCCCCGCCCCGGCAGCTGGGTCACCGTTGTTGTTTCCTGAGCCCAGAAAGAGCCTGAGCACGTACAAGGGTGGGACGGGGCCCAAGTACGCAGTAAGATATATCCTATCTTGCGTTGCGTTGCCCTTGTGCATCGCAAAGATGGAGGCATACAGTGATAGTGGAAGGTCCGGACGCGGAGGTGAATATGGCGCGCATACATGTAACCTCACGCGTATTTGTAGACGTCCTGTGTACCGTACTATGAGCCAGCTATTACAATAACCCGAATACGGTACTGGCCCTTGCTAAGAGGTACCACGGCTCGCACAGCAGCAGGCAACCAGAGACACTCCCCTTCCGGCCCTGAACCTCTGAGGGGGGACCCTAGGCACTTCACACAAAGGGGGCTCTGATCGGGATAAAAGTCGCAGAAGGGGGAGGTAGTTAGCCCGCCGTGTGCACCACTATTCGACAGCAGCAGCCACCAAAGCCACCACCCCGTGGGCCACATAGGGCTCTCCTCACCAATTCGGCAGGGCACGGGGACCTCATGAAATACCACAAGCCAGCCAGCCGACAAGAAATTCAGCCATTGACTCCAAAAGCACTCCACGCAGGGGGTTTAAAGGCTGCGGGGGTTATATCGATCCCCAAGGTACCAACCTCGGCAAAGCATGTGCGTACGGGACACTATGATGATGTGGCGCCGGCCAGAGTTTGTTCCACCGTATTGGTATTGCCCGGACAAAACTGCCCCAGCACAAACAAGTCTAAGCAATGCCGCTCACAACCCGAGGTATCGACTGGTGCTGAAGCGCTGCTCCTGGAAGATTGAGCCATCCAGTAGTAGACTCCTCAGCACGCTAGACGCTGATCGGAAAAAACCCACGAGCAACGATGCGAGCGCCGCAAACAGGGACGGGCGGGCGGGCGCACACTTAACAAAGCGCGGACACAGGCCGTGGCGAAGCAACCGAAGAGCTTGCACCGCCCAAGGGCCTTACGCCAACTAACCCGGCTTCCGCAACGCAAGCCTGCATTTAGCCGCCAAAGTCAGCCACAGATCGCGTGTATAGAGGCTCTCAAGGACACAGATGAACTCCTTAATTACGCCCAAGGCCTTCTGATCTTGCTCGCAAGCTAACTCATGACGTGTAGACTGCGAGGGGCTGATTGTGTTTGCAAGTCCCTTTCGCTGGAGGACGCCAATGACGTGCTCCTTCAGCAGTTCGCAAGCATTAGTAGAGTACGTAAGCATCATGACACACCCCTTGTGGACAGCAAGCGCGTCTCCGTACTGCCGTACACAGGCGATGTTAGTCTGCTAGCGACGTCACTACAGCGAATGTCTGAGTTTCTACATTTTGTGGACTTGTTTTGTGAAGCCTTGGGGATGCCACCATATGTCTCAATGTGCGAAAGGCTTGTTTTCGCATATGATGGCACCCAGCAGACGGAACTTAGCGAGAGATGTCAACAGTTACGGCTATCAGGCCAGGTAATACCTGCCAAAGATAGCGCTCGCTATCTGGGCTTGGTATACGGGCCAGAACGGCCGTTTAGTGCGTGCCGTCAGCAGCTATGTGATACAGGACCGTCCGCTATGTTTTCCTTGAGCGCAAAGCTGGACAAGATGAAGCTGTTCGCCTCTGACGTGCGAATGAGGTGTTCTGCAACCCAAGTCCGAGCAATTCTGTTATATGGCTGCCAGGCATGGGGTCCTTTTGCGCTGGCAGAGGCCGTGGACAGGGCAGGAAGGCGACGGGATAATGGCAACCTTGCGGAGGGCATGTTTGAAGCTTGTTTGAAGGATAGCGCAGTTCAGCTACAGAGGCGTTAAGGCACGCACGAGCCCTTTAATTGGGGCTTGAATTGTGAGAGTCCTTGATGCGGGGCATGAGGAGGGACCTCCCTTGGAGCGGGGCGTGGAAAGGGCAGCCCTCGGTGTGGGGCGTGAGGAGAGAGCTCTTGTAGCGGGGTGTGAGAGGGTGCAGCCCCTGCTGCAGGCTATGAGGAGAGAGCCCTTAGCCCTAGGTGTGGTCCGAGAAGAGCCGGTGGTGGCGGGCATGAGAAGGGGCAGCCCTTGGTGCGGGGCGTTAGAGGAGATCCCCATTAGGTGGGCATTTATGCACGTTGTTCACCAGCCTAACGGATGGCAAAGCGTGATGGGTCAGTGCTCATCGTACGGCATGGGACCCCGGGTCCGCCCCGTGGGGGCTTCAGCGGGTTCTCAAATCCCACACTGATCTAGGTACGTGGTTTCGTACTGCCTATGCCACGCTGCCTGGGTCAAAGACTTTTGCTGACGTCACAAAATCGTTTTTGCGTAAGTATTTTTAGGAAATTTGCTATAATTCAGCTCAGTTGCGTGTCAGGCAGCGGTTCGATTGTACGTAAGTAATGAACTTCCCGTTTTCATGAGAAATTATCAGACGTTACAAAGGGTACCTGCAAGCAATTGAAATAAGTCTTCTTTCGGTAGGTATAGGCCGGATGGAGACCAGCTACCGCAAGGGAATCCACAAGGCCTGGACACCTAACGCCTCACAGCAGCGACCTAATGTAGCTACGAAACCCGAAAAATACTCTAGCACACAGGAGCGACCTCCTTTACCGGCATTACATGCCGTACTAACACGCACAACCAACTCTTTTGAGTTCACAGAAAACCTCGGTTTTCTATCGCTGTTTTCGGAAAACCTTCAGTTGTATGGTGAAAGAGCGGCATCTAAGCCGGCTGTATACGACATTGTTTACGCAAAATGTAAACTACTTAACACTCGTCCTGAGACACGTCCAGAACCCAAAATATTGCATGCCAAATTCATCCTACACATCGCCCTTCAAAACCACCATTCAGGCTTCACATCATGACTCCATGCTGACAACCTAAATATCACTGACACGCTCGGCCCGGTATATGCCCTCCCCTACTATGCCGTACCCACTACCCGGGGAACACCTCGCCACAGGTCGTCCTGTCCAGCTCACCATAGCTCTTGGCTCCTCCCCTTTCCGGAGTCCATCAGGACAAGATGCATCACCTCCGCCGGCCATCCACAGGACTTCCCCCTGCCACCGCGTCCCCCACTCCTCCCGCTGCCGCTGCTGCTGCTGCTACACTGTCCCCCGGTCGCCCCACCACGTTTCGGAGCTCCTTACTCACTACCACTGCCCCCGGCTTGGCGCCCCGCGGTTTCCGCACCCAGGCGCCGCGGGTTACAATGACATCGGCCTTCAGGCTGTCACGTGCCTTACTGAAGAACGCGGCCAGGTTGGCCGCAAACTGGACATCGACCTCGGCGGGTGGCTGAGGGGAGCCGCGCGGTACCCGCAGCAGTGTGTGGGAGCCGGGCATGCCGCGAACGTGGAACCACAGGTCGTCATCAGCCGCCACCTGCACAGATACCGGAAATCAAATCAAATCAGAAGTGGAAACTGGAAATCAAATTTCCACTTGCCAGAAATACGGGTGTGTACACAGACAGATAGATAATGCTGTGTGACACTCGGCACTAAATGACGTTTCTTTTATTTTGCACCGCTTGACCTCATCGCGTTCTGGCACCAATGGCGCAAGCGATAAGGAGCACGCAGCTCGTCTTTCCCTGGCCATATCACCAGCGAAGAATATATCCCCTATGCGTGTCATGCAAGCGGACTTGTGGCAGACTCTCTATGGGCGGCAGGAGCTATAGTCGAGACCAAACCGCTTTGCTTGCGTGCGAAGACCACCATATCGACCTCAACATGTATTGGGCCCTGCCTATCTTCCCTACCTTCCTCTTAGCCCATGCTTTTGCTTGGCCAGCTCAGTTCCTTCGTTCTTCCCGGGCGGGCCTCATCTTGTCTCAGACCTGACTTCACCACACGAGACGGAACCCCTCCTTTCCTCTGCCCCACTACCCCCTCCTTAGTAGTCCCGACCCAGCCCAGTAGTCCCCGGCTCACCTCGGTGCTCAGAACGTCGTTCTGCTTGTTGTTCCGTCCCACCAGCACTGTAAAGCCCCCCGGGCTGGTGTACCGCCGGGCGGAGGCGGTGTCATAACCGCCATCAGCGGCAGCAGCAGCGGCGGCGCCGGCAGAGGACGCCGCGGCGGTGCCTCTTTTCCCGCCCTTTTTGCCAGCCCGCGTGGCTGCCCGCGCCGCAGCTTTAGATGTTCGTGTCTCCATTTTCTGCGCCAATGCAGCATCCGGCGGCGGCTTCATGTACTTCCCGGCCACAAGCTCGTCCTGCACCACAAGAAACCGACACAGCCTAACCGAATTAAATGTAACTTCCCGCGTGTGGTTGAATCTTTTGCACCTACTCGCTCTGATTAGGTCAGGAAGTACAGCCCTGAAAGCACCCAACAGCTCCATACAATACCGTAAAGCCACTAATAGCAGAGGGTGTCTGCCACTCCGCCGTACTGCGCACCTGCACTCCCCGCAGCGCCGCCAAGTCTGCCGGGTCTCCACTCCAAAGCTTCAATCCCTCAAGGCCCACCTGCAACCAGTGTACGACCGATCGTACAAGCGGTACAACATCGCGAAGGCAAGCAGGTTACAGACCAGCAGTTGACACGAGCAATAACGCTCTACGGGTGGTAGTGCCGGGCATTGCCCCGAGGAAGTGCTCCTGCGCGCGCCTATTCCCGAAACATACAGGACCGATATGATGGTCAATGCCCAGTCCGTTCAGGTACGGTGCATCTTGCGGGAAGAGGTCGACGCTTCCTGCGGTCCTTCACGGACGGGTGGCGGCGGTAGCACCGGACCCCAGAGCTCTGCAGCAGGGGCAGCTGCACAGCAACGCGCTGTTATCGATATCCCATTACTTTAGCACCCGTCCGCGGCACAGGCGCTGGAACGGACATTACTTACCTCCCATACGCGCAAACTTGGTATGTTTGGAAGTTTGGGAGCCTCTCTGAAGCTTCCCGGCCAGACGTACCGCTGCCCTGCCGGCCAGAGCTCTCCCGGCCTTTTATCAAATCCTGCCCGAACCGCCTCTTCGGTCACCGCCCGCCTTCATATTCCTCCTCAACCCACGTACCTCCACGTCCTCCAGGTAGGCGACCTCGGACCGCGCCTCCTCCAACAACGGTTGTACGGCATCAATCGCCCGCCGCAGCTTCCGTGCTCTGCGGTCCACGAACAAGGACACCGCCATGGTGCGTCAAGTATCATCAGCTGCAAGATAGAACTCATAAGAAAAAGTGAAAGGAGAATCGTAGGCGACACAAAGGTGTGATGCAAGGCTGATGCGATGACAGCAGGCGAGAACCGCCGTACGACTGTACGACATTGTACTGTACTTACTTGCGGTACAACGCTTCTGCCGTTGCAACGGGAGGCTTTGTTGGGTCCAGCTGCAGCGTCAGCGGCTCACCGGTCTCCCAGTCCTCAACCACCGCGGAGGGCGAGCCGGCCGGGATACTGGCGGCGGTGTTGAAGAAGGTGGCGACGATTGTGAAGATGGCGGAGAGGTGGAACAGATGGTGGTGGTGACGATGGCAGAGGTCGCGGCGATGGTGCGGCAGTGGGATCCGCGGTGGCGGATGAAGCGTGGGACAAACACAATTTCGGTTGGGTAGCAGTCGTGCGTATCAGAGAATTCCCCAAGACATGGAACCCCGGCTGGCTCTCGCCTTCGCGTTCTATCCTCCACCCCTTCCATGCTCCTGGGGCCTCGGAAGCCAAGCTTGCCTTCCTCTTCTCCTTCCTCTTCTTCTTCTACCATGAGCTCCTACCTCCCTCCTATAAGTGCAGTGTTTTGCTCCGCGACCTCACCGGTACAGGTTGGCGGTGATGATGTCCGCCAGGCGGCGCACCTCCTCGGTGCGACCCGACTCGGTCAGCTGCTGCTCGAAGGCGCGGACCTGAGGGCGGTGGTTGGGTGGTTGGGTGATTAGGCGAAGAACCCAAGCAGGCCACAGAAATTGAGAGGCAGGGGCTAGGCATAATTCTATTTGGTTTGAACGAGTTTGGGGGAAAGGGAGGAAGTGGCGGGTGGTGACCTAGATAATGGTATGCGTGCAAGTGCGTGCAAGTGCGAGGAAGAGGGAACACGAAACGAAGAGGCGCACGTAGGGAGCGAAGAAAGAGGGGGGAGGGGAGGAGAGGGGAGGGGGGGGAAAAGCCAAGAACGAGTGTGGTACGAGTCGCCATGCGCCCGCTAGGAACTCCGCCGCCAGCTTGTGTGTGCGGTGGGGGGAAGGGGACGAGCCGGGGCGGAAGGGAAGAGGCAGAGGTCACGGACGTCCTGTTTGGGCCGTCCTAACTCTCCTGTCGCACCTTGCCGCGTGCCTTCTTTAGCGCCGCCGCCACTGCCGCCGCCAGCTTGCCGTACAGCTGCGCATGGGCCTCCGCCGCCGCCAGCGGGCCATAATACTCTTCCAGCATTTCATGTACGGAGGCGTGACGCCGGGGCAGCGAGCCGAACACGGAGTATCTGGGGGCCATATGGGAAGGCGTTGGTTGGGCGCAGAAAAGTAGGAAATCATGTATGTATGTATGTATGTATGTATGTATGTATGTATGTATGTATGTATGTATGTATGTATGTATGTATGTATGTATGTATGTATGTATGTATGTATGTATGTATGTATGTATGTATGTATGTATGTATGTATGTATGTATGTATGTATGTATGTATGTATGTATGTATGTATGTATGTATGGTCTCCTGCACATACCCCATTACGGCTTTGGACGTCGGCAGTTGGTACTTCGTTCCCCCAACTCCGCACACGGACATACACACTCATTGGGAAAGCCAAGGCGCCAATCCCACCTGCCGCTTGAGGGGTCGGATGTCGCCGTAAACTCCCCGCTACGGAGCCGCTCCTGCCACGTCATCCATTGTCCGTACAGCGCCTCCCACTGCGCCTGTGTCAAGGTGCTGGGCCTGACCTCGGGCGTCACGCCCGCCGCCCCACACACCTCTTCCACGAGCGCCGGACTGACGCCGTGGAAGGCGCGAATGAAGCCGTCCACCAGCCGGCCCTCAGAGGGGGCCAGGACGGCTTCAACCCCTCCCTCGCGACCACCGTCGCCACCGTTGCCGCTCTGGGACGGTGACTGCTGCTGCGGCGAAGCAGCAGCAGCAGCAGCTGGTGAAGCTTGGTGCTTGCGTTGTTGTTGTTGTTGTTGTTGTTGTCGCTGGGCGGAAGACGCTGCCGCCGCCACGAGTGCCGCGGCGCCGACGAGTGTGTCGCGCCATTGATCGAAGGAGGGAGCGGCGCTAGGTGGCACGCCGTACAGCTGCGGCGGCAGCGAGTATGTTCGTCCCACCTGGACTTGGCGGTGGCTGGACAACATACCGCCGACCTGCTAGGAACCCCGTCAGGGCGCCATGTGGGGAGGGGTGGGGTGGCTTAGGGTAGGGTGGGCTAACGTGGGGCTAGGGCTGCGGTCGGTCAACACATCGGTAACCCACATGACCCTCCTCCTAAGGCTAAACACCCTCCCCCAGCTCCTTTCTCGCCTGGTAGGCGGCCGCCAGCACTTCCCCATCCGCGCTTGCGAGGATGACGTTGCTGTACCTGTGCAGGTGTGCAGATAGCGGTGGAGAGCGGCGGTGGCGGATCAGTTGAGGTGGCGACAGCGATAAAGTCCAAGTGGTGGATGAAAGAGCGCTGCGAAGGAAGAGAACAAAAACGGCCCAGGACGCTGCCCAGGGTGAAGCAACCCCGCCTTGTACAGCACAGGACAGAACAGCTCACAGCCGTACACGTCTGTGTGTGTTAATTGGTTGGGTGCCCCCTGGCGCCTTGAGAGTGGCCCCGGCAGTCGCATGCCGTGTACGGCCGCCGTCATGAGGCCCACCTGGCCATGATCTCGCAGTACAGGTGGCGGGTGGGCGCCTCCCCGGGCCTCACCCCGAACTGCAGGTTGGCCACCCGCTCCCAGGGGGCTGGCAAGCTGACCTCCACCAGCACTAACCCGCACAGGGCTTCACGGACCTGAGGGGGGCCGGGTGCGGGGGGCCGGGGGGAATAACGGCAATTCCTATGAAACACATTCCGACGCCCAACGTGTGCTGTACAAGGAGACTGGACAAAGGGGAGACGAGGACGGGAGGGGAGGAGGAGCTTGTGACGGGCCCCACATTACCTCCCCCAGGCTCCAGAAGCCCTCGACAGCCCCCTTCCAGTGACTCGTCATGGGCCGACCGCTTTTCCCTGCCTGCCTGCCCAACCCATCGGCTACAGCCGCTGCAGCATGCAGCCAACACTCTCTCTCATCCAGCCCCCTGGGGTGCGCGCGCACCTGCTCGCCCAGGCTGTACAGCTCAGATGCGTTGCCCCGCTCCGGGACCGACCCCTGGGTCATCATGGTCAGTCGGCCAGCTGCCGGGTGCCAGCAGACACGCAACCAGCCCTGCCCTGAGGGGGTGCGCAGGAGGATGCACAAGCTGGTCTTGTCCGGCATAACGACCTGCGGGCCCAAGCCGTGTAAACCCCACGTGGCGTGAGTGAATGAGTGTAACTGTGTATGTACGTGTGTGTATGTGTCGCGCCGATGTGCAAGTAGGAAAAAGGGTCTAAGGGATTAGGCATGGCGCCAAAGAAGGCTTAAGCTGGATTCATGATGGACGTGGGACCAATCGCACATCCTTTTTTGCGGTGCATGGAATCCCAGAGGTGGTTTCGGAGCTCTGAGGTTGCCCCGCTGCCGGCTGCCCAGTGCCCTGAGTGCCACGAGCCACCTAGTACCAGCCCTCGCCGTAAACCTGGAGCTCTTGTTGGGGGTTTGAGCGGTCACCGCCCGCTGTTTAAGGGTCGCAGCCCTTTCACACACCGGACATGCATCGTGCCATTCACCGAGACGTGTACCAGCATGAGCCCCCTCTCTCGTGTGTGACTACCCACCTGCTCCACTTTGGCGGGAACCCAGCCGCTCCGCAGCTCCGCACAGCAGGCAACCAGAGTGCTGAAGTCTACTGGCTGGAGGCGGGGGGGTAGGCCGCTGCCATTGCGGCCGTCACGGCCGCTGCTATTGCTGCCGGCGGGGGCGGGGGCGGCCCCTCTGCTGTCGATGGTGCTTACGCTGCTGTTGCTGCGATTGCTGGAGGAAATGGTCGTTACCGCACGCTGGGTAGTCCTATTGAGTTTATGTCCATTGGCGGAATCTGGGCGGATCAGCGAGTTGACCACTACCGAGTTTCGTGCCGTACTGCCAACCGCAGGTCTAAGAGCAGCCGCTTCCGGCAGCGCAGGGGATCGTCCAAGCCACCACTTCATTTGACAACCTCGATGGTGGATGCGCGCAGTAGGGCGCACTCCCGCAATGGCACTTGCACATCGGATGACAGCTGTTTGCGGCGATTCTGAAACAGTCAGCCTCTTTGTGGATTGGAACAAAATGCTGTCGACCATCTTATGACTGTGAGCAGCAATGCGTCGTGCAGATTGGTCGATTGTTCTATCGTGATGGCGCTGCTGGTTGTCGTGGCCACAAGAGTGAAAGCTAATCACGTCCCAAAACAACCTAAAAGAGAATGGGCTTTTGGTGAGATAATCAGGACGCGATTGATAATTTACAATTGCCCAATTTGCGCACGTCAGAGATTTTCTCAAGTTGAGAAATTGCGCTACGCCCTGCATTTGTGGTTGGCATTTTGACTTCTAAATCACACAAAGGGCTCTGTCAGAGTTCAAATTCGGGAATTGCCAAACAGCGTTGACTCGTGCACCGAACACCGGTGATCCAACCGACGCAATCCATAATTGGATGGGGCCATCCAGTCAGTGGCTGGCAGCGGGCCTGCCGGCACACACGACATGCCAAGAAAGAATACCTTACGTCCGTAAGCCTCACCCCACAACTTCAACAAACCCCATACCCTTTAGGGGAAGACAAACTTCATCCCCTTCAGAAATCCAAAGTTTGTTCCCCTCTAGGGGAAGACTTCCCGGCGCACGTACCGAGGCCACTCGGCGCCACACAGTTTGCATATCCTTCAACAGACATTTTTCCCACTCAACAGGTTTCAGATAACGGAACTGTTCCATTACCTTCTGTACCTGCAAATTCGCCCACCATCTCACAACAGGTTCCACGCACTCTTAACACTTTCCCTTTCCAATGCTGCAATACCATAATGCAACACCGTACGGCATTGGATTGAGGGATCCCCGTGGATCTTTTCAATCCCGCAAAGGAAGTGCAGCAGAGCCTAAAGTGAAACAGTCATTAAATATATCGCATACAGAAGCCTGCCGTCCAGGACGGAAAACACCGATGCGGCTGTGTGAAACAGCCAGGGTGCCTTCACCCTGGCTGCCCAATCTGCTGCCTTCAATTAATGAAGTTAAGTGGTCGAAAATGATGCTTACTTTCTCCAGCTCAATCCACGCAACACAGGTCAACCGCCGCCGCGCAACAAATGCCGCACGCAACCCTACAACCCATCCTCCTTTGCACCCACCATTCCATATATCGCGGGTCCCTATCCATCATGCTGACAGCCATGCTCAGGCTGAAGAACTCGTAGATGATGAAATTATAAACCGGTGGGAACGTGAAACCCCAAAGCCCGCAAGGCCAAATTAACAAGGTCACCACACAATACACCCTCTGCACCCAAAACCCTCAACTTAAATTATTATTACATAACCCGATTCCGGGACTGCGCCACAACCACCCGCCGCTCGGTGGGCGCACTCCCAGAGCCCCTAGGCTGACCTCGGAAGACGGCCAATGGAACCGCACCCACCAGGCCCCGCAGTATCTAAAGAAAAGGCATAGACAGATTGTTCGAATGCCGTTTTAATATTTCTCAATGGTGTTTTAAATCCAGCTCCTTAAAATATTACTAGGCCCTGATACGCTAGCCATGCATATGGTGTTGTAGGCGCGGTGCTGCAGCGGCCAGGGAAGGCCTGTTTGATGAGGCATTCCTTACCCTGGCCACTCCATGATGCGCCCGCGGGACGCTGCTAGCACACACACACACACAGCAGCAGCAGCAGCAGCAGCAGCGGCAGCAGCAATGCAAATCGCTCGATGAATCACCAACAGCTTGAGCGGCCATCTCCCCTCGCCGCAACAACATATGCAATGACGTGCAGTGCGCGCGCGTTAGTTAGTACACAAGCTCTGTACGAGCTGAAGACAGTCTCAGTACTATTGTGGGTTTTGCTTGCCACACGCCAGGCAAGGTCCGTGCCCAAACGATGTTTCTCACACCCGATTTCCTCCGTCATTTCCAGGATGTGTAAACACACATACACACACATATGCATCCAACGTTTAATGCATCCCAACTCGACGCAAAAAGCCACCTACCTACGCTCCTGCAAAACTAAAATCTGCTGCCATGTCCATGGTTTAGAAGCCAACCTTCAGCCAACGCGAAAATGTTCGTGAGTGCGTTCGAATGGGTGAACGCGCGAATGCCACGTCAATCCTGATGGTCAAGATCTGACCTTACAGACATACACACGCACATACACAGCAAAAGAGAGGGACTTTCGTCCAGCAATGTACTCCATTGCTCCGTCGGCCTAAGCACAAACCAGAGAGGAAACCAGGACTCGAAGCCCGCTGGGCTGCTTCACTTATGTGGACCTGTGCCGACAAAAAGCCATAGTATGCCAGATCCATGGAGATCCTCCTGCCAAACTGAAACTACCCTTGTCGGCCAAGAACTCAAAAAAGCTATATCAATGAAGGGAACAAGGACAATCCCTACAAGGAACGACTCCAGGGGGCCGGACTCCCATAGGGCTCTGCGCTGAGCCGTGCGCCGCTGTGTCGTCCCGCCACACCCCGCCGTGGTGACATCGCAACAGGGCCGCACAAACATACACACACACACGCGTGCGCGCGAAGCCTCATGCGCAACATCAAACATTTTGCGCAGCTCCCGTTTAAAATCCCTGTGCACATTTCCGTGCGCGCATTCAGTCGGCGCACACTCACTCTAAATCTCCACTCGATCGCGCAAATAGTCGCGCACACGTAATGGCATATGCATGCCTACACCCAGCTATGGGCTGCGTCGCGCGCTCACCGCCACGCCTTTGCCAGCTCTCCGGGCGCAGCCAATTAAGATTTCCTTCATGAGTGTGGGGTTAGCCTCCAGGCGCGAGAACGAGTCCGCCGCGCGCGCCACTATGTCCGCCTGGTTATCTAGGTACCAGGCCACCAGGCTAGCCAGCAGCTGCGTGAAGCCCTGCGCGTCCGCCCACAACAACCTGTCCACAATGTTTTCTGGCTGCACGTTGGTGAGCACAGCCTCCACGGCCTGGTCTTGGAGCTTCTCCAGTAGCAGACGCGCCGCCAGCTCCGCCACTGCCTGCGCCTTGCCTGGCGGCACGTCCACCGTCCCCGTGTACATGTGGCGCAGAACAAGCGCGAAGGCATCTGGGTCGGCTTCATTAAGGACAAAGTGCTCGGCCTTGCTGTCGCTAAAGTTGTTCTCGAACTGCCGATGGAAGTACTCGCTGCGCGCCGCCAAAATGCCGCGGTGGACGTGAAAGCTACGGCCGGCGACTTCGATAGTGAGGTCTGCTGTGCCGTCTGGCTGGCGGTCCAGTAAGGCGCCCAGGTCTCCGGGTAGCGTGCCAGGAAGCGCGGGCCCAGGTCGCCTGGGCTCCGGAACCATGTAGCTGGGCGGCTTGAGGCCCAGCTGAACCAGGATGAGGTCCTCGTCGCTACCGCCGACGCTCCTAACAGCGCATAGCGCCAGACACCCGTTTGGAAGAATGTTGGCTGGGAAGCAGACGCAGCTGAGCTTGGAGATGGTTGTGACGGCGCCATCGGGCGTCAATTTGCGCAGGCAGCTGCAGGGCCCGCCACGGTCGTACAAGACGTCTGTCAGGAACAGGCTGCCGTCGCCGTCCATCACCATGCCCCAGATTTCCGTAAAGGGCGCCTGTTCTCCGTGCCTGTTGGCCTGCTGGGCGCCTGGACCCTCTTGTCCCGCTAGGAGCACCGGCACTCCCGCACCACTAGGGCCTAATCGGACGCGGTACACGGCGTTCTTACTACTGTAAACTAGGCTTGTTTTGCCGTTACAGTTGTCGAAGGCAAGTCCACACAGAGGCCGCTGCGTATCCAGGATGGTGGATACGACAACCTCGGAATTGCGGGAGTGAGAGGGCGCGGGGGCTGACCGCCACGATGCAGGCAGCTGCAGCTTTCGAATTCTGCATTCGTCTGCCACATACAGCACTCCTGCGCCGTCAGAGACTATGGCGCGCACGCTCTCAAAGGTTGCAGCAGTCCCAACGCCGTCATCTCCGCCGGACCTGTTGCGCGCGCCTGCCACGACCGAAACATCCCCTTTCGAGTTCAGTCGCAAAAGAGCACAGCCTTCCCGGAAAAAAATGCACGCACTAAATGGATCCCAGGCGGGCTCCCATGCGACGGACAATTCGTAGCTTCGCCGGCCTCCTTCCCCCAATTGAGCCGATGATAATTCGTATAATTTGAGGGGGTCCTCTAAATGAAAGCTCCCATGCAAAGAGCTGCCTGTTAGCGGTCTAAACTCCGCACCAACGACCAGCGTCTGGAAAGCATGCTCTTCAGCCTGCGCCGGTCGCGTTACTACGCCACGCAGCTGCTTAACGCGTATACGTCCCTCTAAAAACATGCTATATTGTGCAAGGCCCCCGCAAAGAAAAGCCCCACAATCCCTATGGTAACCAGGGTCCGCATAAGCTACAAGCACAACATTGAACAGTTATTTCATTATTTAATTGTGACCAAGGAAAGCTTTGTTGCGTAGTGAACGGCCAGGGCAACAGATTCGGCTCTCTTGCACGAGCATGTCATTGGGCCCACATAGGCGCCTGGCTTGCATGCGGCGGAGCACGGGTAACAGGTACCCTACGCCTCGTATCACGCAGACGGAAAGAGATTGCCAGCCTTTCTGGTGCCGTAATATAAGGAGCTCCCGTATACCGGATGCCATGGACCCCCTGTGATGGCTAGCCTGGCAGGTGCCACGGCTACTTAACGGCGGAGCTCACCTGTGTACGCTTTAATAACTGCCCATGGGCCGCAGGATGCTCCGAAACACACCGTGTGCAGTGTTGTGTGCAGTGGGCATGAGAGCCGAAAGCATGTCGTCGCTTTGGGATTCGTGATTGCTAGGTGGTTCGCCTTTCGCAGGTGACGGTGAAGCCGATGACTTGCCCTCGAGGGATTAGTTGTGCAAATCGAAGCACACACAACACCCTTTAAGTGTGTGTGTGTGTAGCACACACAACACACCTTAAAAGAGAGAGAGAGA